ACAAGTCAAGAAGAAAACGTCGGCAAAACAAAAACGACGATGACGACAACGACGATGATGATGATGAAAATGGGGAAGATGATGATAACGATGAAGATGATGAAGACGAAGACGATGAAGATGAGAACGACGATAACGAAGATGATGATGACGGCGATGATGATGATAATGATGGTGATGAGGATGATGATGACGACGATGAAGATGGGGATGAGGATGATGACGAAGACAATGATGGAAAAAATAAGGATGCCGATGATAACGACGACGATGATGAAGAGGATGACGACGATGAAGACGAAGATGGGGATGATGATAATGATGACAAAAAAAGGAAATCCAATTCAAAATCACGGCGAAAAAGCTCGCAACGCAAGACAAAGCGACATGCTGATGATGGCGATGATGATGATGATAACGACAAGGATAATGATGAAGATAACGACGATGATGTTAAAAATGTAAAAAGTCATAAAAATGTAAAAAGTAAACAAAGAAAAACCAATAGAAACAAAAACGACAAAGACAAAGACGACGACGACGACGATGATGATGACGATGACGAAGACGACGATAATGACAAAGACGACGACGATGATGACAAACACGATAAAAGATCTCGTAAAAAATCTCACAAATCTATAAAACCTCAAAAAATCCATCAGGTTAATGAACTATGCAACGAACGTTTCATAGATAAGTTAGGTAAATCTTTAAAAATATTGTTCACAACCGAAGAATTAGTTTTGTGGCATTCCCCACCCCTTCCTCTATTGATGTAATCTAAGTATTTATTATATGTATGTATGTATATGTATTTATGTACATAAATTTCCGATTTAATACTCGATCTAAATAAAAAACAAAAACAATTCTATAACATCATATATTTTATATGTATGTGTTTCTTAACCAATACAGGCAAAAATACTATGTCGAAGCATAATCGTGCAATGCCGAAAAGCGGTATACACAATCGTTTTTTACCGAAGACTGAAGGTAAAACAAACGACTTACTCATACAAAATTTGGCACAATTCAGCACAACAGTAAAATGCTTTTGGTGTGCGAGAGTAAAATTCTACTACATACTTGTAATTACCAATAAAAAAAACATTTAAATTAAAAATTGTGTCTAAAGCTATCCACCAAAATTGCTTTGCACGACTGCGCACGACGCCATCATTTCAAAAGTAGTCTGCATGCGAAATGTTCGCTTTTGAGATCTTTTTTTTTTTTTAAGGCGCGTTCTAAGAATTTTCGAACTTAAAGCGCTATTTTTATATATTTTAATTAATTTGAGATATCTATAACCCAATATAGCACACTTTAAATTGCATAAATTTTCGGCAGCAGAATTCTTAAGAAACTTTTTATTTATATTATATATATTATATTTCATATACTGGACTCCATAATTTTATTTTTATTTTTATTTGAGGCTCAGTTACTCTAGACTTAACTTACTTAAGAAGTCGTTAATGATTACTCAACACGTGAATTTGGCCAGAAGCGAAAATATTTTGATTTTGTATTTTCCTTACAAGCCAAATCAAAAAACTCTTCAAAAATTATATTGCGTTGGCCAATATGTTAGGTTACGATAAGTAAATAAAGTCTTGACTAACTGAGCTTTTATCACCTCGTCTCGTATGGTAACATCGGACAGAGTATCCTCTTCATCTGCTCCCACCAGCGGGTACTGCGTTGAATATTTTCAGGGTTACTGCCACCCCTCTATTCATACGACATGACTAAGCCATCGAATATGATGTACATCAGGTAAATCGTTCCTTCGAGTGCTTCAAGGGCCGCCTATTGGCCGATTTTAAGTCTGGCATTATTATCGGCCTTAAAGCTAGTTCCCAAGTAAACGAAGGTCACCACTTGTTCCAAATTATAACTGTCAACAGTGACGCCAGTGTTGAGGGGTATTTGCCCTCACTTTTTGCTTTGTGGTTATTGTTACCGACCATAACGATTATCTTCTCGAAGAAAATGTTGGCCACACTGGCAACAAATAGCCCAAAACTTCACAGCTGAACTCTATTCTATATTTTTTTCTGCAAAGTTCACTTAAATTGAAACTGATTTTTTAAACAGTAACTTATTATTTTTTAATAACTTTTAAACAGCTTTGAACCCTTTTCAAAATATTAAAAGAAAAACTTTCTTAAAATGTTTGCCGACCATATTGTAATTGTACTACATTTCATTTATGAATAAAATTTAAACAGGTGGCAATCCCCTTACAAACGTTTCCGTAATTAAGCTATTTTCATTCTTGAGCATCCTTATTGTAAAATTTCGGGGACTTGTAATTTAACTCTTTAAGCAGGTGGAAACCCTGTTAAAAAAATGTTGGTGTATTTTAATCCAGGTCATAATTTAAATAAATAAATTTGATCCAAACAAAGAGCAGCAAACATATGTATACACTTTCCCATTTATAATATTAGTAGGATTTCATTTAAGTCGTTAATTAAATTGATTTTAAATTCCTGATGGCAACCCTCGTCCAAAATATTTTACAGCTTTTTTAAACCCTCTTCCGTTTGATACCCTTTAAGAAATATAAAAAAAAAAAATGGATTGAAATTTGAATTCAACCCTTTTCAAAAAATATCCCATGTGTTAGTCGGGGTTACTGCATAACTGTGAGGCGAATTTCATTACGTGAAACCGATTTAACGTGAAAGAGCCACAAACATATTCACACACTCACTCACAATCTTTAACCTTCTTTACAAAACTTCACTTATTATTTCCCCAGCTCAAAGACTCAAACGGGCTACATATAGGTGCGCCCGCAACATCAGTCTAAAAAATATATTTTCTGTTTATGTTCGAAAATTCATAGAATGTTTAATGCCTGGGTTTCCATTAGGCACTAAATAGAATGACACAAAAATTCTTGCAATTTAAAAAATGCAATGTGCAAATGAACTTAATAATTATTTTTTGAACGTAATGACACGATTATTTTTTAATGCCCAACTTTGTTACTAAAATTTTTACCATTTAATGCCTAGTGGAAATCTAGCAAAAGAAACACTTGGAATGTGTGGACTACTTGAGAATCTCCAACGAAATTGAAAAAATTCGAGTCAACTTTGCCTACCCGGCAATCCACTTTTTTGGTAACTGCACTAACAAAAAACCGTATACATATCTACTAGTCAACTATCTCCTGCCTCCTCTACCTTCTATAGACTTTTGAAAATTTATGTTGTTGTTTGAGTTAACATTCGTTAATATGTATGTAGTATATGTATGTGATTTGTGAAATGTTTGCCAAGTAGTATGCTGTCATTTCTAGCACCTTAAACATGGTACCCAAATACCCTATCCGCCGTTTTGCTTAACTGCACTACAACACCCAAGGCTATCGATCGAGTTATCGAGTTCGATAAATTAAATATTTTAAATTTAAAGATCAATTAATTTATTATTGCTGATCTAAGCGTTCAATGGTCCTAAGAAAAATAACAACCACATTGAGTATAAAAAAAAACATAGCTGACACAATGTTTTACGAAAAAAAAACTTAACTGGAAAAAATATAAAAAGAAAAACAAAAAAAAAATTTAAAAAAAATTTAATATGTTACTCATGCGTTGACGTTTGTGGAAGAATTTTTTTGCGTTTTTTTTATTTTATAAGTAATTGTTTTATCTGTTTATTAATACGTTTTTATCTCTTACCTCTAAAACAAAAGCAAATCAATTATTTTTTGTTATAACACAAAATATGGCCAGATACAAGCGAAAAGCGAAAATTTAAAAGCCATGCAAAACAAAATCTACAGTCTATGCGATGAAATTGAAAAAAAAGAAACTTATAAAATTTTAAAGCCATGCAAAATGGAATTACATACAAATTATATACAACAAAAATAGTTAAACGTACTTGTATTGAATTCGATTGAAACGCTTAGCATTTATAGTTTTTAGTTGAATGTCAGCATCAAAAGCATTTTGTCAGTTATACGTTTTATTTGCAAAAGAAAATTGAAAATTTTGTATGTCAGGGCATACAAATTTACGTTATGTGTACTAGTAGTAGTAGAGTAGTAGGTGAAGCACGCTTTGCGCCAAAATCAATTTTTTTTTTTAATTTATTTAATTTTTTTCAAAATTTTTATCTGAAAAAGCACAACATGCAGACAAGAAAAACAAACGAAAAATTAATAAAATAAGTAAATTTAAAAATTATAAATAAATTTCTAAGCAAGATTTTACTAACTTTTCTGTGGTACTTCTTTACTATAAAAAAAAATGTACTTAAATAAAACGAAAATTGTGTACCATCGCAAATGCGCACCAACTACTATTCTTTAGTAGTCAAATCTCTCGCTGGGATGTAAAAAAAAAAATTAAATGAAAAAAATTGCATTTTAACAAAATTCTATCGAACAAGCCAAGAAACTAAAAAAAAGACATTTCTGAACTGTTTCTTTTCATTTTCGTGTATTTTTCTACTACTTTTTTGCGCTCTCTTTTTTTGTTGACTCTACTCTAGTAACATTTGAATTGCATTTTATTTGATATATATTTTGTTTTGTAATTAAAAGTCTTTTCTTAATAATCAATTAAATAATAACCAAAAAAAACAAATTATATGAAACTTGTGTAGTAGATAGTGCTTTGTTGAAGGCCTTGCCAAATTGAATTGAACTGAAAGTTTTTACTTGTTGTTCTTTAAAAGCTACTACCTTATTTTGAGAAACAATCTGACAAAATGTTTTTGTTTGTTTGCACACAGATGACGAATGTTTCTATGTTGGATTGGGTCACGACGGCAGTGCGGCACGACGTGGCAATAATTACGCACCAAACGCTTACAAACCATTCCAATGTTGTCCCACTAAACTGGAAAAATCAACCAAAGTACCTAAAATGAGCGCACAACGTATCGGCCATAGCGACAGTGATGCACCGGCGACGGGTAAACGCGGCGGCGCAGGTGGCAATTTTCAATTCGGGCCAGCAACCGGCACCAAAAGCGGCGCAGGCGTAGCCAGCAAATCAACTAAGGGCGGTAATAAGAAGGATAAGGAGAACAAGAAACCAGCGAAGCGTGTCATCGACGACGACGACGACGACGATGATGATGAGGATGATGATGATGATGACGACGACGACGACGACGACGATGATGACGACGTGCCAATGGGCAAAGTCTCCTACACCAGTCCACGCAAAACAAAGAAATCAACCGCCGGCGGCAACAACAAGCAAGTGTCTAACGATAAGTCCTATGGCAATGGCAAATCGACGAAGAAGGCTCAGGCTAAAGATGGCGATAAATTGAATGTGAAAACCGGTATGTTCGGCTTTGGTAGATACATTATCTGGTAGAAAGTCACAGTGTATGTTTTTGTACATACGTAAAGCCAGAATTATGTGCTATATATTGAAATTTTTATATAATATTGAATCGTTTCGTATACGTCACATGTCTTTATATAAATAGTAGTATGTGTCTAAAATGCTTATGTATGTATGTGGGTATTTATGCATGTATGTATGTGTTGTATGTACATACATACATATGTCTGCATTTGTACCGTATTTTCGTGGACAGACATTTTTCCTGTTTTTATGTGTTTGATTTTCTTCTTCTTTTCTTCTTTTCTGTGTTTTGCAGGCATTAATTATTTGCATAAACGACTAAAAAATCTATATGAACTTTTTCAGGATATCTCTCTGTGGGAATAAGGAAGCAATATAAATGAATTTACAAAAAATTTAAAATAAATTAAATTCCACATACACACACACACACACATCCAAACACACATTTGTACACACTGAGCAAATAATAATAGCGAACAATTGAAATAATGTTAATAAATCTAGCTAATCAAAAATGAAATATCACACAGAAAGTTATGGAATCCCCTACAAGAAAAAAAATTCCAAAAATTGTACATACAAAAATATATTCACTAAAAACCACTATAAAGTAAAATGGTTCCTACAGGCTACACACAAAACTATACTTCATTTAATTTGAAAAAAAATGTAGCGAAAAAATTACACTAGTACATAAGCAAAAATTGGCATAAACGATGTACCAAAAAACACCGCATCTCTGAAAACCTATTACACCTAACTAGGAGTTACAAAAAAATATTAATAGAGTGGCGGAAAATTCTAACGAAAAGTAAATTAAAACAAAAAAAAAACATTAAACACAAAGCTAGAAAAAAAATTGCATAAAAAAATTAAGTAAAAAACAAAAATTTTCCAAAACAAATACGAAAATTGGCAAGAAAAAACTACTTTTCACTATTACTTCAATTTAATTTAATTTAAATACAATTTTATAAAATATTTAATTTTTTTGGACAAAAAAAACAAATTACGGAAAAACGACACCTAAATATAGGGAAATTTGCATGAAGGATAAGCCGCTAACACTGCTCCTAGAAACATCATTCCTGGCAAGAAGTTGAAAAAATGAATAAAAAAAATGCGTATAAGAATAAACGCAAACATTAGTGGAAAAAATTTGGTTAAAGAATATTTTGCATAAAAAACAGCATATACAATATTGAAAGAAACACCAAAGATTCATAGAAAACTAAATAGTATAAAAAAAAAAATTCATATAAAATTGGAAGAAAGGCCAAATTTTTCACAGAAAACTAAATTTCATCTAAAATAATTAAAAAAAAAAATTACAAAAAATTGTTTCATGAAAAGTATAAAGTAAAAATTGACGTAAAAAGCGCACCAAAATGCAAACAAACATATAAAAATGTGTTTACCTAAAGCAAAACTTTTTTATTATCTTATATAAAAACATTTTCTTCAAGTTGGCAAAAGCTTAGCTATTGCAACTTCGCAGCTAAATTTAAAATTAAAGTAAACATTTTCAATGTAATTTTAAATCAATTAAGATTTTAAATAATTCTTTGTGTTTCAATCTATAATAAGTAAAATTTAGTAAACGAATTTCAATTCAACACAAAAAAAAATAAATTTAAAACTACTTAAAAAATTAAATTTTTTTTTGTAAAATAAAATTGAATTAGGATAATCTAAAAATCTAATTTTGATATTTTCGACCAATTTTTCAATAAAATTTTCTTTTTAAGTTTCTATTGATTTAAGGTAAAGTCAGACTTCGGTAACAGAAAATTATTAAATTTTTTTTCACTTAAAAAGCAGGTAAAAATGGCAAAATTTAAATTTTTCGTGCAGAAAACACTAAATAAAGGAAAAAATGTTAAATTTGGCCACTCATACACATTAATCAAAGAATTTTCATTTTTTTTAAATATGTATTTACAAATAATGACATACCCGTTTTCGGATTGAGTGTGTGTACGAATTTCCCTAAAACTCTCAACTAAATTTGGTTTATTGTGACAAAAAGCTGTATATATCACCTAAAGATGCTTCCGGCTGTTATAGCTATCTCTTTAAAACCTCAATTCTGTCACACATAGTGAATACCACCACCAAAACTCTTTCTTTTCCTTAGCAATCAAGCAACCGAAAACAGGATAAAAATGTGCGCCCACAAATAAAAGGAATAAGAAAAAAATTTTAGCCTCTTTTAAGCTTGAGACATCGCTAGCAAGAGCTTTCTTTGAAGAAAAAGGTGCGAAAATCGCAATTTCTCATATGCATGTACATATATCAAAATACAGTTTGTATAGAACAAAAAAAAAAAAAATCAAAGAAAATACTGCCTTGAAACCTCACATGCAATTGCATTATCGGCCAATTTAACTATGTAATTGAGGTTATGTGATTATAACCTTAATATCGAAATTTCATAAATAAACTCATTTAAAGAAATGCTCCAAAATTTGCCAACATCAAAGTTGTCTAAAAGATGAACAATCAGTAGCAAACAACAACACATCAATGAAAACCGCAACCTCTCAATACAACAACAATTATTGCAAATGTTCCACTACTTTGCAGAGATTGTTCGTTCAACAGACAACTCAAAAACTCTTCAAACCTTAAATCTAAAACCTAAAACTTTGTTCAACCCTTCATGCTTACTTAGTTCAAAATAATAGCGTGTTCACAACGAACTTAAAAGTGTGCGAATTTTCTACAATTCAATTATATGTGTGTTGTAAATTTTCCACACCTAGGACTTCGCTATGAACACCACTATTGTAACTTTGAGTTCTATTAGCTTTAGTTGCCTGTTTTTTTTATTATAAATATATTTTGTGAATACTTTCCCGTTATTTTCCGTTACTTTTTTGTATTATGCTCAACTAGTCCTCACATTTGTCCACCCATATGTATGTGTATTTATCTCTAACCTTTATGACTCCTCATCGTGCCCGAGAAAATGTTAGGGGTATTCACATGAATTTATAAAAGTCAAACCATCATAAAAATATTATAAAAAGTATGACATTATGCAAATTTATCTCGTTTTCATACCTTGTGAATACTTTTATCAATTAAATATTTTTTGCTGAATCATTTAAAATACTCGCATAATAAAATTCAAATATAATGTTAAACTTTGTTCAAAATAAAAGCAATTTGCAATTATAGAAGAAGAAGAAACAAACCCAAAACAAAGTAAAAGCCAAAAATATTTTATCGATACTCGTTGTCAGTTAACTATTTAAATTTTTATACCGTTTTACTAAAAAACGCAACTATTTACAAACTATTATTGTAAAAGAAAAAATTTATATATTTTTATGTACTACTTATAAAAAAAAATATGTAATTACTTAATTTACAACTACAACACAATACTTTTGTAACTGTACTTAACACTTTTGATACTATACATATACACATTTTGTGCCTTTTTGTGTACACTTTACAATGTAGGGGACTTGATTTTTATTTTATTTTTTATTTTTTCTACATACTATTTAGCATGTATTTACAATACAAAAAGAAAGTTAACTACTTTTGCTGTAAAAAATTTAATTTATTTATAATTTAATAAAAAAAAACAACAACATTTTAAGAAAATTTGTAACAATGCAATATGAAATGCTGGTATACACCCGTTACATTTATGTAGATATTTTTTTTTTGGTAAACCGTTAAGCGAAAATGCCATATTTCGTTTTTCGTTGCGGAAAAAAATTATATTTGTTTTGTGTAAAAAAGCAGCCAAATGCAACAAATTAACTGTAATGCTCGGAATAAAAGATTGTCAACGGTAGTTTTCAAGGCGACTACTGTTAGTTTTTTTGTAAATTTTTTTTATTGTTGTGCCGGTATTCAAAATACCGTTAAACTCGCATTATACCCATAACGCATACACACATAGTTATGTTGGTATGTGTAGACGCGTTGTTATGTTTTACAAAGTTTAAGCACTTGTTATAAACATATTTTTCTTAATTAATTTTAGTTATGAGTAAAAACAAAAACAAAATAATAACTAATGTATAATTTTTCTAAAAAAATTTAAATAATAAAATTGTTATATTTTATAATACAATGTTGAACAATAGCGAAAATTTTTAAAGGCTGTTATAAACGCCAAACAATTTCACATGTCAAAATGTAAATTAATTTTACGCAATTTAATTAGTTAACTTGTAAACAAAACTGAGATTTGTAGAACATTAATAAACAGATTTATAAAAAAAAAAATTCAACCACAAACGCATTCAACCGAAATTTTGTTATGGTATATTTTCACTTCAACACTGATTACATAATTCTTCCCCTGCATGTAATTCATGCTTAGATTACACTGTGCGACACTCCTAAATACACTCCTAATGGCAAGTCATTTAATTGTTTTTGCTGGCTATTGTCGAGTAAAATAAGAATCGGAATACGAAATTTGCCAAACACGCCCAAAATCTTGACTCTCCGTTAAGAAACCGGGTTTCCGTACTTTTGTGCACTTAAAAGTTTGCAACTTCATTCATTATAAAAAAAAATTGCGGAAAGCAATTACATAAAATAAAAATCTTTGCATGTATTGGGAAAAAATCTCTGTACGAAGACTTTCGACAATCAAATTTTAACAGAAGAAAAGTTTAAAAAACAACAGGTTCTGTGACAAATTTTTGCATGTGCTAAATGCTGTTCTTAAAAAAAAAATCAAGTTACTAATGAAGGAAAGTGAGGTATAAATACAGAAGTAATGAGTGGTCAAATGAAAATACGCAAAGATTTTTTGTATGAAAGAAGAGTTACTCATACGCCACGTACACCTGAGTAATCGGCTCTTATGCTACTATACTTGTTCATTTAAATATTTTTGCTTTCTTTCAGAAAAATATTGGTCCATTTTTAGCCATCGTTGGTAAAAATGGTAGAAAATATAATATAGCTAAAATGTTAGTACATCTACCAATAAAATGGTAAAGCCCGTGCACTGCTCTGTACCCAATTGTCAAGTGTCAAAAAAAGTAAGAAGCCATTTGGAATATTTTTTTTTTTATTCAAGACAGTCGAAAATCAAGAACTACAGAAATAACTTTTACCCTGTTGAATATGCCTTGCTGTTAAATACATCCATACAATATAATACAGTAATATATATCTAGTTTCAACATTAAAACATCCAGTTTTCCTACCAGAAGTTTTGAACCACTATCATAATTCTTATGCTTGTTCGAATTTTGTCAGAGAGTTTTCTTGCCCAGCACTGCATTTTACCTATTATTATTAAATAATTGAATTACTTGCAATTGATTCCTTACGAACAACCTTACCAAAAAATATGTTTACATCAAAGCTTTCCCAAACAATATTGCTTTAATATCAAACCTATGAAATACTAAATTTAATTGCATCAACACTATCAAATAGGGCATGTACCCGTTCCACTTTCCTTTCTTCAAGAGCGGAGCATATGCCCTTAGTTGTAGATCGCAGAGAAGCTTCATATCTTGTTCCATAAAACAGAATATATATTACCAATGGCGACCGTGTATTTCCCATGTACGGCAATATATATATATATATATGTATGTATCAGCGTTTATATCTTGTTACTTATTGCCAACCATGAACAGTCTCTTTGCCACTTTGAAAGCCATATTTGCATTCGAAAGAAAGCGTGTTGTTGATACTCGTTAATATCATAGGAATAACAGATTTTCTGGTAAACTAAAAACAGAGACTGTTCTCTCTTGGATCATTTACGACTGCATACGTTTTAGACAATTATTAATCATGTTTTCTTTTTGGTTTAAATATTTCTAACGCTGAATTATATTTACATATCAAGACATCACAGTGTCCTCACACAAAAATTTGTTTTGAAATCGCTTAGATATGTATGTATATGTATGTACATATCGGAGCCTGAGTGGAAGTTCGACCTATCGCGGCAACTGACTGAAAAATTACCCTAGCTCAGAATTTGGCTGAAGAACGCGCTATCTCAGCAGACGATTCACAAACGCCCTATCTCAGCACATTTTCAATATATTTGCATTTGAGGTAGGGCGTTTTTGAACGGAATTCTAAGATATGACGTTATTCAACCAAATTCTGAGCTGGGGTGTTTTTCAATAAAATTCTGAAATAGGGAGTTCTTGAAAAGTTTTCTGAGATAGGGCGATTTCGAATTGACCCGCCAAGATAGGTCGATCTACCACTCAGGTGTCGATGAGTACTTGTGTATTGCCATTCAAAATGAGAGCAGGTCGGCAATAACAGATTGCCTGTGGAGATGTGCGGTAAGAATAGCCTGACTCGCAAATTATGCAAGGCAACCATCCGCAATTATTACTAGTGATGATCGATATTTCACTACCGGTGATTTTATCACTATGATTTAAAAATCGCTACTACTACTTCTAGGCCACAATATCAGTGATTGGTGATTTTTCTACTCGCATGATTTTTCGCTTTGTGAATGAAAATCACATCTGGCAATAGCTAGTCGACAAAAGTTGCGAATGGAGATTATTCTCTGTCATGGTAGAAATGGTGATTTTAAAATATTTAATTAATCATTGTGATATGCTCGTATGTATATTGCGTTTTTTTCATAACCGTTCCACGGTTGTTTTGAATGGACATTTTCAAGTACGCAGTTTAATTTGCTTGATCGCGTTATTTGTGTTTCATTTTTTATTGCAAAATTTTTATCAACGAATAAAGATGGCTGCAAATATTAATACAACACGAAATGGCTGAAATCCTTGCGGGTAGGGAATTATCCCTACATGTACCAACATTTGAAGAATAATCACACAGCGAAACAAAATCAAGAAAATTGTACCTATGTACATTTTACGAACCGAAGTAGAAGCATGTCATGCATGTTTGTATGCGAATTAATTCCAGATACCAACGTTTTAATTCTAACTTTAGCATAAGTTCGGGCGAAACCGAACTTTATATGCCCGGCGTGGGTATCAAATATCTCGATTGCAAAATTTTTCGATAATATGCTGAATTAGAGTTAATGAAATAATTGAACCAAGTTTGGAAGAAATTTACCGAGATACACTTTGTAGCCATAAAGTGGGCGAGCTCACGCCCATTTTCCAAACATTTCGTAATAATACTATTTCTTACCAAAATTCGACTTTACATACTAATCTTCAACAATTTGGATCCAATATTTACTGAAATATCGTAGTTTTTGCATTTTTCGAAAATACCGTTATATGTTAGTGTTTGGCCGAGCTTCTCCTCCAACTTGTGGCCTTGATATTGTCACACAAAGCGGAGGGACCTACAGTTTTACGCCGACTCCGAACGGCGATTGTATTTTTATGAGAAGCTGTTTTTCATGGCAGAAATACACTCGGCGGTTTGCCATTGCCTGCCGAGGGACGACCGCTGTTAAGAAAAACCTTTTTATAAATTTCTTGCGATGTTGCTTTGACCAGGGCTTGAACCCAGGTGCTGGTGAGTGAAAGCGCGCACTGCTTACCACTACACCACAGCGGCCGACAATTCCATTAGAACTATTAAAAAAAATTTTATTGCTACTAAAAAATTTGTTTATGCAGTGCCTACAGAATGTAAACAAAATAATTTATTACGAAAACTTATATTTCTGAACATGTGTTGCAAATTTATGAGATACAAATGATTGTGCATCTGTATGTATTTAAATAGTCGTAAGACTAAAAATATTTCAAATATAAAATTCTTAAATAATATTTTTTTTTTTAATGCTTCAGCATATTTTTCCCATTCCTCACTAATAAATACCTATGCCAAATGTGCTCGTAAGAGAATTTTCTTCCACAGACACTTGTGTTTCGTTACGTCAGCAGTTGCCATGATAAGAAAATTCACAGTTTCCAGCATAGTGAAAAAATTAAATTTCATTTAAATTGAAATAAACAGCGACAGTTTTTTGAAACTTTGCCAAATTTTTAGATGAACTAAACAAACTATTTTTGAATATCTTATTGTATGTATACTGCCAGTTGCTGATTTTCTCTGGAAACATGATATGTTCCGAGTTGCGGTCATTGATGAATATACATACGTATATAGTATTGGGGTAATATTTTTTTATTTTCGAATAAATAAATTTGTCATAAAAATACATATTGAAATTTATAAATTTACAGGTGAATGGTATCTTCAAACAAAAAAAAAAATAAAAAAAATTTTATATTTTATTAAAAAATATTTTTTTATTAAAAGCCACAATCTCTACGGGCGTTATATACTGCGTTAGATAAATTCCGCAGACCTAAGTTTCGTCATGTTGTATACGATTTTTATTCTCACGATTTTGGAGAAAAAATTTACAGCAGTTATCAATGTTCTGGGGTAGTATTTTGTTATTTTCAAGTCAAATTTTTACCATAAAAACTAAAAACATCTTCTTTAATAATAAGGATTATATTAGCGAATTTATTTTAATGTTAATATAATCTGCAAAAAAAAAAATTTAAATTTTATTTTTATTAAAAAATTGTTTTTTATAATACAAACCAAAATCTCAACGAATCGTTATATACTACTATTCTAGGGTAATATTTTGTAATTTTAAAAATTTTTTGTCAAAAAAATTAAAATTAATTCGATATTATCGAAATTTATAATTTTTAAAGTTACTATATCTTCAAAAAAAAAAATACATTTTATATTTTTTTAAAAAATAGTTTTGGTAATAAAAACCAATATCTCTACGGACGCTATATAGACGCTGGGTAAGAAAAACTTCGCAGATCTAAGTTTCGTTATGTTATGATTTTTATTCTGTCGATTTTGAAAAAAAAAATATTTATAGAAATTATCGATTTTCTTAGGGCAATATTTTGTTATTTTCAATAAATTTTTTATCATAAAAACTAAAAACCTTGCCTTTAATGGTTTTGATTATATTAGCGTATATATTTTAATGTTAATGTCTCCAAAAAACCCCAAAAATTTTAAATTTTATTTTTATTAAAAAATATTTTTTATGATAAAAACCAAAGTCTACGAATCGTTATACACTGGGTAAGAAAAATTCCGCAGATCTAATTTTCGTAATGCTACGATTTTTATTCTGCCTATATTTTGAACAAAAAAAAACTCTTAGAAGTTATCGATATTCTTTGGGTAGTATTTTGTTACTTTCAAATCAGTTTTGTTTTATCATAAAAATTAAAAACATTTTTAATAGTATATATTTATTATACTCGCCTGCCTTCGATTTGCCGCGCAATTGGAATATCTTTCCAAAGTGAGTCTTATTAAGAGAGCACTGCTTGAAACAATTTATTTAGCCGCGCTCCGCACTTTGCCCACTGGGTTATTCATTATAAAACTCTTTCCTTAATAAAAAGCAGTTACTAGTTCATGCACTAAATTAGCCCATAGATTAAAAAATTATAATTTCGAATCACTGGTATTTAAAAGCGCTTTACTGTGAGACGACTAAATTGGTTAGACCTTTCAATAAAGATTCACACGATTTTTAATTTTCTGACAGAAAGGAGATTTTTTAAACCATTCCCTGAACATACAAACAGCGTCATGTAATCCTTTATTCTATATTTTTTAACGAATGAAAAGCTCTTTAGACTTGATCAACACTGCAACAAACAGGTAATAAATATCTATCCATTTTTATTTCTATAATCGCTTGGGATTATAACTAACATGATTTTATAACTCTTTATTCCAATCGCCATAGGTAATATTGAGAATCCACAAATTGTCTTTAAATGGATATTGGAACAGAAGGCCGATGAAAGTATACAGCTGATAGATCGGGACACACTGAACGAATACATAAACACCAAAGATTTTCTGGCTGTAATTTTTTGTAAGTAAAATCTAGCCAATAACAACAACAAAGTAAGCCAGTGTGACAATTTTAATTTTTTTTTTTGCGGTAATAACAACATCAACAACAGCTGTAAGATAGAACAAAGCGTGTTTAGAGCTCATTAGCGATTTCAGTTAAGCTAGTTAGCTCGCTCACTAAAAACTGTAACTGCTTGATAATTATGAAAAAAATAAATAAAAAATATTTATGTATGTAGTAACACCTACTTAGCAGTGCTTAAACTTAAATAGATGTCGAGTTCCATGTACATTAGATTTCATACATTTCTATGCATATGCGATTTAGTTTCCTATTTCTTACTTTTTTACCAACCGAATTTAAATGCGACTTCATATTTCTTTGTTCCTGTTCCTTACTTCCTTGCAGACAAAGAAGACGATCCAGATGCGCCACGCGTCTTGCGTCACATCGAACTGATCGATGATGAAGCGCTGGAATATGGCATACACATAGTCAAAATGAATGACAAGTTGATGGCTAAGAAATATGGCTACCGCAATCCACCTGGCATAACATATTTCCGCAAGGGCAAATACATTAACTACGATGGCGATATTGATGATGAGGAAGAGGTGCTGGATTGGCTTACAAGTCCGGCGAATATGGAAATGACCGATCACATTGAGAAAGTGAATCGTAAAATGTTCGATAAAATACGCAAAGCTTCCGACTACTTGGCTGTGATTTTCTGTAAGCGCCAATGGGTTTTTGCTATTTATTTTATTTTATTTTTGCAAGAGCAAGCATAAATTTTCCAAATTGTAGATAGTGACGAATGCAAGCAGTGTCCTCGTGTGCTTGCCGAAGTGGAGCATATCGACGATGAAGCGGATAAGGCGGGTATCGATTTTGTTAAGATCGATGACAAGCAAATGGCAAAAGAGTTTGGCGTTTTTGCGCTACCTGCAATTGTGTTCTTTAAGCCAACATCGAAGGAACCAGTTATCTACGCCGGTAAGTAATGCAATGTAAAAAAAAACCTTTTCTTCGGGTATTTTTTATTTTTTTTTATATTAAGCGGACCATTTAAAGAAGTTGACTCCTATCAAGTGGTAATATTCGCCTTTCTGCGCCCTTACGAAAAGCTTAGTTCTGCGTCTTACTAGACATTTTTTCTAGCTTCTGCCTAATCTCAGCTTCAACAGGATCCAAGTTGATCAACTGATTAGTACAAATCTTTCTGAGTTAGAACCAATTTTGGCCAGTTCATCTTTAAATTTTGGAAAAGTCATATAGTAGCGTACCCATATACTTTTATTATGCATATCATATCTAGTATTGTTTAACATTTCCGAAGTAGTTGTCATGCGGTCATAACGGTTTCAAGACCCGAATGGTAATCTTAATTAGAATATACAGGGCACCCTATTTCAGGCAACACCCTTTGAACGGGTGGGAACTACCGCTACTACATAACTTTGGCGTTTAAGTGTTTATTAAGAAAGACATCACTGCGCTAAATACTTGCAGAGCGGTTATAGATTAAAAAAAAACCGTATGTGAATACGGTTGCAAGATCCATATTATTCTAGTAGCTGCGCTAAATATGACTACATCCTGGGCTAGAAATAAGAACACTGGAAGTGTTGCTCAACATTATAACTTTTTGTTTAAATTTTACTTAAATTTAATTTTTAGAAAGTTATATTTTTCTTTTTTTAATTAAACTTTCTTTCAGTTTTAGATTTAATTGTTTGAAACAATTGTTTGACTTCATTTAATGGTAAAAACTTAATTAATTGATTTTTTTTATAACATTTTTTCCTTTTTTAACTTCATTTTCATTTTTCAAATTAATCAGTGATTAGCTTTCTAAATGTAAATAAAGTCGGCAGCATTTTTTAATGTAATGACAAATTTGGTTTTATTCGAGCATTTTCGGCCGTGTTTCACCATAAAAAAATCAGTTTCCTATACTCCTCATTATCCATTTGTTTTCGGTGTAATTCGGAAAAATAAATGACAAAAAGCAAATAAAAGTGTCCATTAAAGCCGTTTTTCGTGTACTTAACTGCGATCAATTTCAATATCTTGGCTGATTTGTAAGCTCGAGCTCGAGTTCTACGCAGGAAATTGCTTCTGAAACGACCTATAGCTGCGCAGCAACAGATACTTTCAAATCTGTATTCATAATTATCATGATCTTAATTTCTTTGGATTACATGTCAAATCGCAAGCCTACTGGATTCATGGCACTTATTGCATAAAACTGACCACAAGCCATTTAAAAATAAATAATATTGTAAATATTGACCTCGAAATTAAATTATCAATTCAATAAATACGTATGTAGTTCTTGAGTTCCACCTTTAAGCTAAGAAACTGTGTACCAATTTTTGAAAACATTATATGTGTAAGGAGAGCAGACTTTTTCGATAATACAAAGGAGCTTTAAAAAGTACTTCCCAAAATTTTAATGTAATTTAAACTTTCGTAACTCCTAAACAAATGGATATTTTAAGTATATATTAAATATTGCCACATTCTTATGATTTCAGATGCAAGAAGAATAACTATACGAATGTTGTATTCTAGCGAGTTTCAGCGGTATTTAAAAAGTACTATGATGAGCCAAAATGTATTGTAACAGTTCGCGTTTTGGACCATATGATCATTTTCTTTAATTTATAGAGTTAGAAACAATCAGCACTAATCGGAATATATATTTATAATAAAAGCCTATAACGAAGGAGCAATTACATTATAAAAAAAAAAATAATAACAAGTTATGGTTCCGGTATTTCGGGCCCCTTAAGTAGCTCGGGTCCGGGGGTTTCACCTCTTTCCCCCCTCCCTCTCGGCGGGCCTTGAAGTAGGCCATCACTGAGACAGGATATCGAAAATAATTATTTTCTTAGCCACCTGATACGCCGTATTGCACGCCATGCGACAATAAAGCTCGTAATGTCTAAAAATCTAACGTATTTCAACGTTTACGGTTGCTGTGCCCTAACTATCCCTCACATATCACTGAACCCTGTTTTATAGGTCTTCACGGTGGTATAACTGATTTCCAATCCCAATGATTTTTACCGAAATTGCAAGGATGAGAAAGAAGTGGAGAGTGTTGAACACTATCTCTGCACAGTCCTAATCTAGCTGAAGTGCGGCCATATCTTTAAATGCTTAGCAACTTGTTAAATGGTTTTTAAAAGGCGTAATTTCTAAACTACTGGTTGGGGGGTTGCCACCTGTTTAAATGATGAAACATGGGTGTCGGATTTAATTTAATATTTTTAAGAGGGTTGCCACCTGTTCAAAAAAATCAAATTCAACTTACGTTAAGCGAATTATATAATGAAAAAATTGTATCACAGAATAAGTGTCGGACGAATTTAAGAATATTTTTGTTGGAAAATATTTTGAAGAGGGTTAAAACAAATTTAATGTGGAAAACTTTTATGTTTTTGACTGAATCTGAATATGTGAATTTTAACGAAACACCTACTGTTTATGCAAAAATTAAACGCACTATCTATATTCGGGTACATAAATCTTTTTCTGCTCTAAATTTCAGGTGATCTTTATGAAGAAGAACAAATTCTTGCTTGGTTACTAACGCAAAAGGACCCAAGCGGGGATGTTATCGAAGATCTTGAAGGCGAGAGACTGGTTCAATTGATCGAAGAGTCTGGTTCGATTGCGGTATATTTTTGTAAGTAAACAACGTATTATAAAATAGTGTATGTACTGCTTTTAAAAGCAATATGCTGCAATCGGTTTGGTGACATTAATGTGCAATGTTGCAAGAATTATGAAAGTTTTTTGAGAAAGCGTATAGTTTTACAGGAATATGAGGCGTTTTGAAGCCCAGAATTTATAAATGCTTCGGAACTTTATGCTTTAAAGAAAATTTCCAGCGCTTGCTAAAAACTTTTGTAGTCCTTAATTATATTCGAAAGTTATTTTCAAATTGGTAGAATTCCCATATAAATTATTCGAACAGTTAAGAAAAGTAAGGCAAACATGAGTTAATAGGTTTTTCATGTTAAATAAATTAATGCGTATATGTATTCACTACTTTTCAATCAATGAACTTAGTCCAGAGGCCTCTAGGCAACTTGCCGCATTCAATGTTACACTTTTGCGCAAAAAGGTTGCAGCTTTAAAATATAACCGATGATATAACTGAGTAGTCAATTTAAGAATTTATAATTTTAACATTAATTTTATAGCTAAAAGATTTGTAATTAACCATTTATTTGAAACTAATTATTCTGATCTCTTCAAGTAGTTGCAGTTCATTGGCGACAAAGAACTTCTCGTCTGTAACTAACCATAGACTAAGACAATAATTCTTCTTATTCTTATTTACTTTTTATATTTAATTGTGTTTTCAAATCTCAATTCTTTTCAATTGCCACTTAATTAAAAACATAAAAACAAACAACAAACAATAATGTTGTTTAACGAAATCAACTTTTAATTCTACACCTTCAATTCTGCACAAAAACAACCTCTTCCAACCAAAACCAAAAAAATAAAAATAAAAATTAATTGTTTGTGTCCACGAATCCAAAAAAAAAAAAAAAACGAAAAAATATCAAACCTTCACTGCACATAGGGAATAAGACACAGTGCGACATTTGTACTTCGAAGGCAGCGCGCAAGGCACGTCTGAAGAAGGAGCGCGAAGCGCAGCAACAGGACGGCGGTGCCGGAGCAGCGGCATCATTTGGCGCTGAAGGAGAAGCTGCTGTGGCCGAAGCAGAAGCGGCTGCGGCGGCGGCAACTGAGTCCACAAAAACATCCTTCTCAGCTGGCGGTAAACACGACGATGGTAGTGACAAAGAGTAGCATAGCAAAGATAATAGAGTTAGACCCACCCCATAAACCCTCAACTTTGTTCAAAAAAAAATATCGTTTTTGAATACCCTTAATTTTTGTAAATGAGTTAAACGGTTTTATAGATTTAAGTTTTGAATTCACAAACCTACTACTTAAAGTTTGGACATACATATATGTACGGTGAGCATATTTATGAGAGCCGAATACGGGACAAAAAATAATTTAGCAAATTTGTTCCAAAACAGCTTACAGATCTTAAAGCCATCTTCAAAGATCCTTGATGTATTAGTAAACAGTATCCTTATAGTAACATAACGAATTTATAGGATAATTTTCTCGAGATTTTTACCCCGTAAAAGTTGCTAAAAAAATTCATTAAATTTTAGTATAATGAAGTGCAATGTTTATTTGCTAAGGCATACCAACAATTTTTGACAATTTTTTTTTTGTTGACGGTGTTACGCATTTTTTTTCATACAAAATAAGTATGTTCGACCATTTTTAACCGACTTCCGAAAAAGGAGGAGGTTATCAGTTCGTCGGAATACTTTGTTTTTATGTATGTTACCGCATAACTTTGGATCAAGTGAACCGATTTCGAAAATGGGAGCGACGAACTGATAACCTCCTCCTTTTTTGTAAGTCGGTTAATAAATAATAAACATTAAATAAACTAACTAAAAATAGTCAAAACTTACTAAAATGTCGAGTCATAATTTCTATTTTAGTCACTGTATGTATTCCTCGATTAGAATCAAAGGAAAAATTAGTATCATTTATTTACCAACATCACTTAAAACTCGTTCATAGACATGTCATTTTAATGAGCTGTTAAGGCGTCGAAACACCGAATACGGGACAAACACAAGACATTAAAAGAAATACAGAACATTTGACGTCCCGTATAAAATAAATAAATTACCAGGACAATGGGTTAAAAAAGAGGACTGTCCCGTATAATAGAGGACAGATGGTCACCGTACATATATGCCACCCTAAAAAGCAACAAAAAAAGAACCAAAAACCAACAGCAGTACACTACAGATGCCCTACAACCGACAGCATTTCCAACATTTTCCGCCTACAACCAAATAAAAAATTTGTGTCTCCACTTAAATGCGAACTTGAGTTCTATGAAGTGCTGAAGTGGATATTCACTTAAAATTGTAACAGTCACGAAAGTCTCGAAACTTTGACTAAACCTGTGAAAAAGTATCGCATGTAGAATATTTTTCTAAAGCTGTGTGCCTAAGAAATTTGAAATTTTTCTGGTATATATTCTTTTTTTCACTTCAACGCTTCATACAGCGCAAATTGATCGCCCAATTGATTATCTCCAAAGTATATTTTTGATGGAGATTTTTCGCACCAAAAAAAAAAGAAAAAAACTCTTCTCGTAGAAACGGATCTTTTTTACCTTTGTTTGAAACCAGTCGTTCTTTGTGTTAACTTTCTTGCTTTTTCTAACATTTCAGTGACCTACTATCCGCTTTTTTAACTTGTTTGCATGCACACTTTTGGATTCCAATATTTTTCGTATTTATTCACACACATCTCTTCTTTATATTAGATGCCGACGGTTGTGAGCAGTGCACCAAAGTGCTTGAAGAACTGGAGAACATTGACGACGATTGTGATAAGCATGGCATAACGTTCGTAAAGACTCGTGATTTTTCGGTTGCCGATGGTTATGGGGTACATGAGTATCCAGCGCTCGTCTATTTCGAAGGCGGTATTCCGAATGTTTTTGAAGGTACATAATAGAATTTCACTTACATACATGTACATATGTATATGAGGCATTCTTCGTCAACTGAAGACCCACTCTCTCCGAAATTGATTCAGGTAAAAAAATCGGTAATATTGCCGAAAATTTAGTAAAAGTGTTTACTTTTCAACATGATTCATCATGCTTTTAAGTGATGGGTGACATTTTTGACAAACGCTAATTTTTCAAAAATTATTAAATTCACTTGAAATTTATTACCTAGGGGTCTTTGGGGTCGCTAGTAAGAATATGATCATGAATTCTAAGATTTCAAAATGACAGATCGAACATCGTAAATAATTGTTTGATAATGTATCACCCTCTCTCCAAAATTCGTTTGGATTTCGAACGTATTTAGAGAGTTCTAATGTATCGCAGTCATGCTTTTTGACAGAGTCTTTTAACTAAAAGCAGCTTTTTTGTGTTCGAAAGCGTCCGGCTATCGGTATTCTTCAAAAACTAAACGTAGTGCTCAATCTTTGAGAAGATGTGAATGTTGATCTCCTCTCAAAAAGCAAAGTTAACGATTCCCCCAGGGGTGCTCAAAGCAGCTCCCCCTTTATCGATAATTTTTTTATTCCATGGACAGTAATTTCCACTTTCTTAACAACATCTTAAATGTGGGCCGTTTATAGGGTATACAATCATCTAGCTCTACTTGAAGACACCGACAATAATTGGACTAGAGCGGTGGTCTGCGAATTATCTGTGAGTTCGGCACTCATCGGCAGCGTTGCCAGGTTGACGTTTTTAACGTCATTTGGACGTTTTTTGTGTAAAAAATTACGTTTTTTAACTTTCAAGTAAAAAAAGCAAAAGCATCAAAAAAAGCTGTACAGCATAAAATGTCTGAAAAAAGTAGGCGAATTTTTTAAAACTTCATTGAAAATGTACTGAATGCAAAAAAAATTAAATATTAGGTCCATTCAATAACTTTTCCACTAAGTACTTGCAGCGAGAGCGTAAAAGAAAAATAGAGAGTAAAATTGAGAGCAAGAGAAAATTTTCAGAAAAAGTTGTTGAACGCAAAACTAGTAAAAACTTGCAACTTAAGCCATTTTCACACTTTCTGACGGTTAAGTTTTGGCGCGCAATTTTCTTTTTAATTGGGAATAGTTCCCATCGTCATAAAAGTAAAAAAATGTATACGGTTAAGTTTTGGCGCGCAATTTTCTTTTTAATTGGGAATAGTTCCCATAGTCATAAAAGTAAAAAAATATACAATAGATTTAAATAATTTATCCATGTTTTCATTTCACTAATTATGTTTCATCAAATCATCCTCTTAAACAGTTTGCTCACATTTGAATTTGAAACATAACCTTACTTTTGGACTCCTGCAAATTCCTGCTAGCTAGCTTCGCTCCCTCTTGCAAATATTTTGGGCTATTGAATGCATTTCCAGTAAAAACTTGCAAGTACTAGTAACAATTCGTAACAATTTTTTGATATTGAATGGACCTATTGCTATGCTCCTTCTTAGCAGAACGTAATTTAGCATTTTCGAAAACCGAGCCCCTAACCAAATTTCTACAAGAAAAAAAAAATATTAAAAATCGACGCGATTATTTAGCCCCCTTAAACTTGCACATTATTGCCCTGAAATTTAATAGGCTAAAAAATCTGAATATAAAGTTGAATATCTAGCTGAAAATTTGCAGATTGTTTATAATTTTTGCACAGTTTTTGTGGATTTATATTTTGTTTGTTAATGAGCTTGGCTTTTATGGAAAAACAATAAACATTAAATAAACGAAATAGAAACAGCCAAAATCGATCAAAATGTTGATGACTTAATCAACTGATCACAAGTGTATGTATAAAATGATTTTTATATAAACGATCTCATACCAGTTTACAATGAATTTTAAATGTGCTCTGTCGAAATGATATTTTAATACACATATCTTACGTACATATCGAACCCTAACCGCCAAAATAACGTAAGCGAGATTTATTTCAAAATTTTATATTATTTTATTTTATAGGAATATTTCTGCATCAAAAAGAAAATTTTGAAAAAAGTATCGCTTACGTTATTTTGGCGGTTAGGGCTCGACATGTACCTTTGTATACAATAAAAGTTTAAATAAGAACACTTTTTTGTACATTCATTTGAAAAAGACGTTTTTGGGTAGGAAATGACGTTTTTTCAGACCAAGAGGGACGTTTTCTCATGCCGAAGACATTTTCGCATCAAACCTCAAAGACAAGTAGTACAAGAAAGGGAGTTGAAGGGTAGTGTCCTCTGCTCCCTAATTTTTAATTTCTATTTACTGCAGTTCCAGAGGGTGTTTCCTTGATCACATTCGACGTTGACGTTGATCTTAGTGCCAAGAATTGACATTGATGAAGAATGTTTCTATCAGACTTTACGAGCTGCGTCATTACATATGGGCTCCATATATCACCCCATTTACATTCTCAGAGTTAAAGCTCAATGCAGAGCCTTAAATCGTTGACGGCCAGCTCTTAGGCCAAAGGCGAACATTTTAGAAAACAATAAACATTCATACCGACCTGTCTGAAGTTGTTCTGAGCCACCGCCGAAGTCTATCGTAACACTTAGGAATTTCAAATTCCGTCTGTATACCAATGAGACCTTCGTACTCCCAATTAATAATGTATTATAATGCCGAAGGAGCTGTTTCGCAAGGGTTTCTGAATGGCCCCAGCAAACACTTGCTTGAAGCTAAGTCGCATATCAGACGTCTTCGCATGGATCTTAGTGACCAGTATTATCAACGTTTACCTTATCCGCGATAGCAAATTTCTTTCTTATGGGCCATCAAAATATTCATGTTAATTCTTAGTCCTGTGAATACCATCAACAAATTAAACAGACCACCTATCGTTCCGACAATAGTCGCGTCTACGTAACTGGAACAACTTAGATCTACATATTTTGGCCAAGGACTGTCACTCCAGATAATTCCCAAAAAGCTCTTAGGGGATTTCGTTTTTTACAGTGATACAATAAAGACAACCACCTGTCGTGGACAAAGATCTTGGGTTACCTCGGCAGACGTATGATTACTCTAGCTCAACTGCTTTTTGGATACTATAATAGATTAAGCTCTTAATAATTCAAAACCGCACTCAACATATCCGACGTATGTTCAATATGCGAAGAACCCCTGCACAATGCTATACACCCCTTCACATGCCCATTCAAAGAAACTCCTTCTTGCTTTGGTCAAACCCATGGAAACAACTGTTTTCCTTAGCCCATCATTAGATGAACTTGATGTAAAATAAGAATGGGTTCATTGATCCAGGCAGAGTTACTGATCTATTTTCTATATGTAGAAAGGGTTTGCTACAACAACAAAAACATTATAACTACCATACAACAAGAGTTTTCGTTCCTAAATACTATACAACAAATCACCCGCACCTGTTCGTAACTATCAAGCTTAAAACATAGAACGTTATTGTGTGTAGATCATTGGCTAAAGAACTTATCGGGAGGCAATTGTAATATATATATTTTGTAAATATTTAACTTCCTTAGGTGAATTGAACGAAGAGGAGGAAGTCTTACAATGGCTGATCACGCAAAAGACTGAGGATCGTATTGAGTTAATCACTCGTCAGATGCTGGAAACCATGGTTGAGGAAACACAATATTTGGCTGTTTACTTCTGTAAGTCTTTATGAAATAGCTAGTAAAATCTTTGTTCTCAAAAAATTGTTGTTTTCTTTTTTATTATTATTTTTTTTTGTTTATGGGATTCTAATAATTTTACTTTACATATATTGTATATTTTTTTTTTGATCATGAACTACCAAACTATCCCACACCAACAACACTGCCAATCCAATAATTTGCATTCATACAAATGAAATGAAAAACAATAAATAAATATATAAATCAAATAAACGACTACACAATCCAATCCACCATAAATGTACCACAAATACCAAAAAAAAAAAACAAAAACCAAAAACAAAAATCCCCAGTACCTTCCGATCGCAATGGAAAACAACCTGCTTACTGCCGCATTTTTTGTTCACCCGCCTCTTTAAATGGAAGCATGAACAACAACACGAAACACGCATCCCAGCAATTCATAAAGAATTACATTTCACGCAAAAGAAAACGTATCCAAAATCAAGGTATTCAAAACTAAAAAAAAATCAAAAAATTCAACATAACCTACAATACTTGTACATAATCAATTAATAAACGTACATAAACTCACGCATAGCTATCACGTACTAAAGAACGAATTCAAACGAAAAATATATACATATGCAAAACTTAACTGACTTGCACCCTGTATTGTTTTAAAGATGTTGCTACTTATTGCATTTGCGAAACTAATTAGCTGCTACTCGTTAGTTTTGTTTCGATACGAGTAAATAATAAAAACAATTTATATAATCGGCTTTTTATGAATTGCACACGCGGGCCGATGTTTTGAGAGTCAATATTGTCTCTCTTGCTGTAACTAAGCCGACAAATTTTCCATACAGTATTTTTCCAAACTAAATATCAGAAAGGAAGTAATCTCAAACATTTTTATGTTCTGCAATCCAAAACCGAATAGTTATTGCATTAAGAAAAAAATTCCGTCAATACTTGCTGCCCTCAGGGCGAAATATGAAGCCGGAATTAGACTTAAAAATGAAACGGCTCTCGAAAAAGTATTTCTATTTACCCCCGAAATCTAAATTTTTACTTCTCACCCGACTAAAGAACAATTGGGTACCCTAAAATTAGTTTGTAATTTAGTTCAAATATCTAAAAGAAAGCAAAATAGTTCACCCCTAGCTTGTATTGCTATGCTTGTTGCTAGGAATGCAACGATCTTTTGCGTTTCGAAGAACACGCCCTAACCATTTATACTTGATAAATAAATGCTTAGAAGATCGTACTCTGAACATTCGTTCCAAATGCAGTCTGTTGTCTCGTCGATCTCCAAGACACAGCCAATATTCTATCACAGGGGACAAACTAATCCGACGCATGAGAGAACGAAGTCGATTGGTCGATTAGATAATCAGCGAAACGGTTAGGTTAGATTAGATAAGAAGAGCTTGTATGGAGAGTACCATACTTAAGCCGAAGGACATATGTAGTTGCCAATTATTACATATTACTCTCTGTGGAGAAAAAGTCGTTTACAAAAAGAAAATGAAGAAGAATCATGGCATTGACCGGCTGAGGCACTTTCCATCTCAAATAAAATTTAAGGGGAATCCTCTCTTATATCTACGCCAGACTCGTGAAGAAGCGTGACATAGACTTATTCGCAAAGGCTACGGTAAATTGATCACTTTTCATCATACTTTTTATTCCTGTACGGTTGTATAGGCGATTACAGGAAATATCGTGTCGCGTTGTCAACACTGTGTCATATTAACTTGACTCTTTGCTGGAGTCCCTGTCATAGCAATATCGAAAGAAACGAGGGTCCCGGCATTTCCGTACAATCCCCCATTTCACTCCAATGTTTTATATTGGTTTCGAAACCCTTAGCTATTGGCAGAGGTAGTGGATTTCCGGTTGGAAACGTGGCATTCAGCTGAAAATCTCTGAGTACAGACTGCCTCTGGTTCTTTTCTCCATCCGTGTATCATCAATGCAGATTAATATACCATCACCTGCTACGGAAAGACCTACATCGCATTAATCTCTGGCCGGTAATCGCATAGATACTCTTAAATTGGTGAAACAAAATGGCATAATGCAGCGGTGCTAGCTTCGAAGTTAACTTTAATATTTTTTTTTCAATAACACGGTTTCTTACTATTTCACCCAATATTGCCACGGGTACACAGATATTTGGTTACCAAATGTGGGCTTGCCTAAAGGCTGGTCTTCCCTAGGGCAAACTAAATGGCATTTGTCATCAAATAAGTGCGGTTAGTCGTTTTTTAACTGATTGATATAAGAATATGTCTCCAGTCGTGTACATGTGCTGCTAAATTGGCTATCTGTCCATTTATGGACCAGGAAATGGAGATAAAGTTGTATCAAAATATGTTGACAAAATTGGTTGTCCAAATATGACATAGGAAAACCAGCCTTAAGCTTTGGGCGCGAGCCTCTGCATTTTTGCATTTATATTCTTGTCTACACATTTGGAGCGCTTTACATAGATCCAGTTGCAGATTCACTCAAAATAATTATTATTGTGAAGCCCATATATTTAAGCTGGAACTTTTGAGAAACCGAAATCTGTAATATCAATAAACATCGTCCGACACGATTTTTCACCCATGAAAAAACCAAACATTTTCGCAAATTAGAGACATAACCAAACCACCCGTACTTCGCCGTTTTTCTACATCAAGTCATTTACTGTTTTTAAGGGGAAAAACCACCCTAAACAACCCCTTTGCTGAATTGGTCAAAAGAATATTACCTTGTGATTTTTCCAACTTCATTAGACTTCGTATCGAAGAGTTTTTGAGGTCGGTGATTACAAATCTGCAGTCAGTTCCTAACAATGGCGGATGGATGTTTTTTTTTTAATTATCAGATTTGTATGATATTTGACATCTCAAAAATTGAAAATGTCGGATCAAATAAAGATGATTAATCATGACATAGTACTTCTTACAGGAATTATGTAGAGAAGATCTTCCTCTACAATTTACTAGTATTTTTTATCTTTTTGATTAATGCATATGATTTGACGGCGTCAGAGTTTGAATCGACGGATGTATACCCTAATAATTATCTGGAGTTCATTTGCATTAGTTGGACGTCTTAATAACTTTTGGAGAACTTTAAAATGGGACAAAAATATTCAATGGTTTGAAATGTTTATGTATGTGACTCCGAAGTAGCCTAAATTAGTGAAAACTTTAGCTCCAAGCTTTTAAGACGGGAACAATTAAAAGTAAATGTCAGTAGTTTACCTTCCATTTCTTATATTTAGTTTGGAAATGAATACCTTAATTTTTGGCGTTTTCTTTTTCTTTCACATTCTTGTAACTCAAATTGCTAACTTTTTATGCTTTCTGACTATTACTAAAAATAACTAATGGAAGTAATGGTCGAAACTAAAAATTATTTTTAATAAATAGCTGAAAATGAAATGAAACAGTCGTCACCGAATAATCAATAATATTGTTTAATCAAATAACGAATATTGAGTTTGGAATTTACATTGCTGAAATATTGAAATGCATAAATTACTAATAAGAAAATTTGATCAATATCTAATTATTCACTAAGCTTAACTAAATTATTTGTAAAAAAAAAACATGTAGTTATACGCGGAAATATTTCTGTGGCATTTTGATAAAGCAACTTGGCTCGAGTTAGGCCATTTTCTTTTTATTTGGGTTACCAAATAATATTTCAACGATTAACTAATAGGAGCTTATATATATGTAAATATAAAATTTTTGAAGGGAAACTCTTTCTTTTTTATTCCAAAGCCAAACTTTCTAAAGTCACTTAAGTTGTTCTATTAAAATGCAACAGATTTATGTACATATGTATTTACTTACTTCCAGAGACATGGAACTTTTCAATTTATTCTTTTAACAATCTGTATGTATTTATGTTTTCTCTATTTAGACAAAATCAACTGTAACATTTGTGACCAAATTCTTGAGGGCCTGGAACTGATCGATGATGAATGTGATGTCTTTGGCATTCATATGGTCAAAATACAGGATCCACAATTGGCGAAACGTTATTCGATCAAGACATTCCCAGCCCTTGTGTATTTCCGGTAAAGTAAATAACAGAAATTTACAATATAACCCGATTAATTCGTCACCAGAAATTACAATTTT